GCCCAAAGCCCTAGCCCAAAGCCCTAGCCCAAAGCCCTAGCCCAAAGCCCTAGCCCAAAGCCCTAGCCCAAAGCCCTAGCCCAAAGCCCTAGCCCAAAGCCCTAGCCCAAAGCCCTAGCCCAAAGCCCTAGCCCAAAGCCCTAGCCCAAAGCCCTAGCCCAAAGCCCTAGCCCAAAGCCCTAGCCCAAAGCCCTAGCCCAAAGCCCTAGCCCAAAGCCCTAGCCCAAAGCCCTAGCCCAAAGCCCTAGCCCAAAGCCCTAGCCCAAAGCCCTAGCCCAAAGCCCTAGCCCAAAGCCCTAGTTCTAGCTCTTATCTTAGCCACCTTCGCTCTAGCCTTACTATATGTGGTATGATATTGTAAACTAGCTCTTAACTATAGCTATCTTACCCAGCTAGACTATTTGCTCACTCTTGCCCATACCACCAAAACCCCTATCCTAACATTTCCCAAACCAACCCCAAAATCCACCCCAAAAAGCGATTGATCAACCTCAAATTAAAAGTGAATAAGTCACTGGCTCATGCTCTCCAAAACGTTGTTCGCCTTCATGAAGCTTGTTTGATTTATTTCCGCGGGCGATTTATCGTCTGGCAACAAGTTTTTTGGGACACAAAACCTTGGCCAGAAACAACTGTTCCAGTTTGTTATAACCGCCACTTTATGTATGGCACTTATTTTCGGCCAAAGAATTTGCGAAAAAACAAAGAAACAAAAACAAGCCCGTACATGATACACTTTGGGAAGCAGGCGTGGTAGATTAACAAAAAAGTTTAAATTTGGAAGTTATGTCTAAAATTGAAATTTTTTACTCTTATGGAGTTTTTATGATAAATCCTAGAGAATTCCTTGCTTCTTTTAACCTAACTAACCATCAACTTTACCCCTACCCCAACTCCTTCCTCTCACTTCCTTCTCACACCGTTTTTTCTTAAAGTGAAAATATTTTAGAGAAAAATCGACTGTCCGTTTTCTTTATTCAAATTTGCTCGGCCCCACATTCCCATCAATCTCGCGAGAACAGTGATTTAACGCGCACAACTTTCAAAGAAATCCGGCTGTTGGCCAATATCGCTCGTTGTAAACTTTGTCTTTCTTTTGCGGTCGATTCGAAATTACTTTTGCGCCTTTTTTATTGTGCAAGTTTATGGTCTCGGTCGATGCCGGATTGACAGAAGTGTTGGTTTTGTCAAGTTTGATCAAAGATGACATTTTAAGATAAAAATTTAAGAAAAAAGGCAATAAAGAGCACGTTATACAGAGTGGAACTCCTGTATAACAATCTCCTCTATAACGAACAAAATCCAAATTTTCAAGCACTTTATTATACAGTAGATTTACTGTATTATAAACATGAAGAAAAAGTCATGTCGTTTTTAAAAGCAGGGTGGCACGTTCAAAAACGACAAAACTTTTTTTAACGTTTTATTTTAACCTTGATGCAAAAAGAATGGCGCTTGATAAAATAACGCAAAATTTTTAAAAAATTCGGGACAGGCCATTCTTTTTGCATCAACTATCATATGCGCCATTCTTTGTGCATCAATCATGAAATGCGCCATTCTTTTTACATCAACTATAAAATGCGCCATTCTTTTTGCATCAACTACAAAATACACCATTCTTTTTGCATCAACACAAAAATTTTTTTTTGATTTTTTGAGACAACTATATAAAAATCATAAAAAGTACTAAAAACCGAAAAATAACTAAAACAAGGTCAGCCCATACCTATGACCCCATTTAGTTGCACTTTTATGGTTTGTGTTGGCAAACCGCATACATAATATGATGCGAAGGTGCTTCGATTTAATGGCCTGAATAGCGGAAACTCGGCACGGAAGTGGATTTAAGAAACCGTGGGCCGAGAGTATATTAAAAGCATCTTATTACACATGTTGCTGGTGCTGCGCGGAATTTTTAATTGTGCTGGGCGGGGTAAAATACGCTTCTTGATCTGGAGGAAGTCCGTTTCAAAAAATATTTTTTTTAGCTTAAGAAGAGTTGTTATGTAGCAAAAATAGTTTTTATGTGCATCAATCCAAAAATTGAAAAATTATAGAAATTTTTTTTAAAATGTTGGAAAAACGTGCAAAGTAACACCTAACCCACCCCAACTTCAGTATTCGTATAACTAACTCGGGCAACTTTACAAATCATAAAATAATATAAATCGTGGCCAGAGGCGGACCAAAAAGGAAGCGGCGATTCATCGTCCGGTTTTGATTATTTCTCGCTTTTGTAGTCAAATGGCGATTTGTACAAAACTAATTCAAAAACAATGGCAGTGGGCAGGGAATCTGAAGTTTTAAAAGTTTGAATCTGTGAAAGCCAGTTTTAAATTTTAGTTCAAGTTTGAACTTTGGAAATTATAAATTTGAAATGCAGTGAAACGTTTGTATAACGAGTCGAAAAATTTTAAATTTTAAAAAAAAATTTTTAAAGGCAATACGAGGAGGGTATATTTAACATTACAGAAGATGGAAAAGGAGTAGTGTTTTTGAAAAAGAGTTTTCAATAGAAAAAAAAACTAAAACATTGAAAAAAATAGTGCTTAATTTAACCCCGTTTCCCTTAGGTCAAAGTTAGTAATCCTTTTTTAGGCCAGAGACCTTTGTTTTAGTCTAAAAATAAGCCTCAAGAAGTAAAAGAAAAACATCTAATTGTAAGTACAAAAAAAATTTTTTAAAATTATTTTTCAATTTTTACAACTCTCAACTAACGACATGAAATTACCGGTGGCAGAAAGAAAGTAGGCCTGAGAAACAAGCCGAACCAGGCCCACTTTTAAAGTCCGTCCCAGGCCCAAGAGTTAACGTTTAGGCCTGGCCTTTAACATTAGCTCATGCCGGTCCAGCCCGGCTCGATTGTAGGACCGGGCCAAGTCAATTTGGGCCTACACGGGCCGTTTCTGATCCGTGAAAGAGAGAAGTGTCCCTCCACATCCAAACAAAGAATTATTATATTACCCACAGATGGCCGTACTACAAAATATTTTTAAAAATCAAAAATGCGACAAACCTCAAATTACCAATAAAATCAAAAACCGATATAACCTAATTCGAAGCGGCGGAACGGCCTTATTTGTGGCGATGAGGTGAGAAGTTTATTTTGCGGACCAATTAGATACAAAGGCTCTCGAGAATTAATATTTATTTTGGGGTTAAATCGACCGGCTCGAGGAATCGACGACCTCGAAAACAAATTCCGAGCACAAATAGAGGAAGTTTATGGGATTTTGATGGAGTGACGGCGCTGTAGATGAGCTACCACGCAATAATGTTTACCATCGTATGTTGAGAAAGAGCATTTTTGAAGAAGGCATGACATAACAAAAGATTTAACATTGAAAAGATGTTAAAAGAATTGAAGACTTAAATTTATTTATATTGATTTTATCACAGTAATTAAATGTGACGCTATAGTATTACAACACAAAAAGTTTTGTCGTTTTTAATTGTGTAAATCTTTACAAACTAACGACGAAACTTTATTTGTCTTTTTTATAAGCTATGCATTAAAAAATATAGTTTATAGTCTAAATATAATATAGAATTTTATTAGCTTAAAATTACTGTAACGTATTGTAAGAATACTAAACAGCAAGCAAGTACTGCACCTTAATCAGATCAGGAAGAAACAATGGTTTGGGCGTGGAAAAATGGGTGTATAAACATCAAAACATGATCTTCCCCACTGAAAGAGGATGACCAGCGTTTGCTGAAACAACAATTATTGTATACTGGGAAATGATACCACATTGTGGCAGTCTACTGTAGACAAATTAAATCTGCTGCGGCGGCATTGATGGGTAATTACAATCGGGTCTTCTTCATTCATGGTAATGCTCGCCCCCTATGTGACAAAGTTGAGCCGAGACAAGCTGAAAGGCTTTGGCTGTGTTGTGATGCCACATGCTCTGTACTAAACTGATGTTGCGCCTACAACTTATAATATGTTCCACTTTCTTAAAAAACAACCTGAACGCAACACGTTAATGGTACATATAATTGTTAATTAGTTGTTGTTGTTTTTTAAATATTAAATTTTTGTCAAAAAAAAAATTGGCGGAAAACGTTTGCAAACACCTAATAGAATTAGAAATTAGCCTACAAAAGTAGACTAAAAAAGGAAACAATATAATACTGTAGTTTAAAAGTGCACAAAATAACAAGCTTTCTTGGAATTACAAGAAAGGCATATTACAGTTAGACATGTCAACAGACTTTCAACTTTCATGCAATATGTAATAAAGACGGCACGCCTTTTTTGGCATGTTACATATTATTATAAAGGGTATTTTATTTTTGATTGTGTGTACTATTTCGAATACTACCGTAAAAATTCAGTGAGTCAGCGTTTTCTTTTTTGTTTTATTTTAGTTAAGAATAAGAGTGTGAAGATAGGATAGTGAGTGTAACTAGTAGAAAAAAAGGGAAACCTATAAATTTTTTTGATGAGAGGAAAGGGGTGTATCTCTCTTATAAAAAAATTGCAAAAAGTTGAACGTGGTCCGCCTGTAGATGTTTTTAAAAAAATTACAGTCTGTATGCAGCTGGTCGCGTAGTACCTACTTTTTTAAAATATTTATTATAGTACACTTTAGTCTGCACTATAAGAAAAAACCAGAATGCAAAATGAAAGTTACTTCCATTAGCCTTAAGAAAACAATTTTAATTAGGGAGTAATTAGTATGCTGGGTATGTCTTAATGACCAAAACAAAACGTCAGCAAACAGGCGTTATTATGTAACGAACGAATACCTATATACGGAATGCCAGTCATATAAGTAAAGGTTTTTAAATATTTTATATTTTTATAGTTTTAAAAAACAAAATATATTTTTTGATACTTTTGGTACTGTATTTTTACTGTCTGCAAGTCAAACATATTTTTTACAACAATATATGTATATAGGTTAAAGCGGGAGGAAGGATGGTGAGCGTTTTGGTGTTTACTGTGTGAGTCTCAGGCTAAGGTAATACAGTTATTTTTAGTTTAGATGACAAGTAATGACAGTGAAACACTAGACGAAGTAGATCCGTATAAAGCATCAGCTATACCAGGCATTGTTCTGACAAACATTTTTGCTGGATTGGGCATTTTTGGAAACGTCAACATTGTCTGGGCGACTTGTAGGAAGAGGTAACACATTTTTACTATGGATACTTTTACTATATAGTGTGTACTGTAATAATATACTGTAATATAGTTTGTAGGAATTTTTTAAATATTTTTTAATTTAAATTGTAATTTTAAGTATTTTTAATGCATAAAAAATTTTTTTTTTAATTTTAGCCAACTCCAAGGTGTATGTCATGTAATCATAGCCATAACAGCCTTATCTGACATTTTACATCAAAGTGGTCATTTCTTATTTTTATTCTTCTATCTTACCAAAAATGCTGTGCAAACCACACAATTTTGTTTTTGGCTCCAGTTGGTACCATCTTTCAACATTAGTTTTGGGGCTTTTATGGTACTGTCGATTGGAATCGACCGGTTGATTCGGGTTTTGTTTCCTATGGCGTAAGTAACGTTAATGTTGATTTTATGTTCTACTGTCTATAATGTTGGCTTAAAGACTGTAGTTATAAATAATATATAACCTCAATGGTAAAGAATTTTAGGTATCTTCGAATGAACAAAAGGTTATATATCTTTGTCACACTCATACCGCCATTCATTTACAGCAGTTACTATGTGTATCTATGTTATCCTTATGTGATGGCAATTAAAGATAAGTAAGTGAAGTTTTATTTTTTGCGCCATTCTTTTTGCACCAACTAAAACTTTACTTTTGTCACGCTTTCTCTTTACTTTTTGACCACAAGATGCTAAAGTAACTAGTGCTTACTGCACTTATTACTATATGGAACACTATACGTAGTAATTTATACTATACTATACATATTACTTTTTAGCAAAGCCATGCCCATCTTGACAGCCATGTTCATAGGCGAGACCATAGTAATATGGAACACAGTTCAAGCCTTTATTCACGTCGCCGCCTTATTTACCTACACTTTACTGTGGTTAATCGTAAAGAAGAAGAGTATGGGATCATCGGCCAAAAGAATGATCAAGTCATTGTGTCTTATTATGGTAACCTTTGTATCTGGCTGGGTGTTTGTGGGACTGTTTATGGCTATTAACCAAGCTTTACATGAACATATGACACCAACTGATGAATACTTTTATCATTTCACGTTTGGATGGCTGATTAATGTCACACTGGCAGCTAATTATTGGATTTACTTTGTTTCGAAGTAGGTTCGAATACAGTAGGAAAGCTTCATACGCACTTACAATTTCTTTAAAACAGTTATCAGCTACATAACTCAACCTACATATATAACTACATAACTTAATATAAAAGATTTTCTTTGAATTTCGAAAAAAGTGCATTGAGACAAAACTGTAATTATGTTATTAGCAAATAACATAATATTATTTACTATTTAGTTCACATTATTATAGGTGGGCTGAGGAATAACATATCATTAAATACACGAACATACGATATAGTATAAAGTAATGTAAGCTCTACTTCCTGGTCTAAGAAAAATGAAAAATAGCCTTTAAAGTGTAGTTTTAGGGATGAGCCGTGCAGGTTTGGCTAGTTCAGCTCAAAATTCTGGAATTTTAAAATTTATAATTTTCTATTAAAGCTATTATAAAGTTTAAACAAATTACTTTGCAGTGACGAATATCGATACGCTTTCATAGAACAATTAGATATAATGACATGTCAAAAGACGATGCTGTTTGACAGTAGACAGTACACGACTAAAATTGTATTTATATCAAAAATAACTGTGACTTCCAAATTATAGAAGATTTGGAGTTGCAATGGAATAGCACAACTTTTATTTTACAATAAAGAATGAATCTCACTTATCAACTCCAATTAATATACTATACACTATGAATATACATATCAAAATAAATATTTATAATTAAATTTTAGTTATTTTACCTCTTAAGATAGACTAATCCAGGAAAAGTTAACGGATAGTACAGTGAAATCATAAAAAGTTACAAAAAATGAAGTAATGAAATGAAAGAATTGAGTAATAATCTATATTCTTGTACAATTAACAAGGAAAGTTCTCAACCTGCCCCGCTCAGAATCAGCTCAAAATTTTTATATGAATTCTTTGTACCACCAATAGTACCCATAAAAAATTTTAGCTCGCGCTTTTGAGTTTTAAATTTAAATTATTTGGGTTTCCCACCAATTTGACAAATTTGGCATTGTGTTTCAAGCACTTTTTTTCGGCTTTCCAAACAAGGTACGCTTACAAATTTATAAATGTAAGTTTATTTTTGAAGCTTTTGTATCATTATATTAAAGAAAAATAGTTAAAAGTCAAAAATTGACAACGTTACAATCTTGAAACACAATGCCAAGTTGGCGGGAAGTTCAAAAAGTGGTTTTTTAACCTCGATTTTCTCAAGATTGGCCGCAAACCGCGACTTAATAATTTGCATAAGATCTTACATTTAAATAATCTTGCTACAAAAAAGTTTGGATAAAATCTGAGAGTTGCAGGTTGGGTACTTTCCTTGTAAGTTCTACCAAAAAACTTTAGTTCTTAAGATCTACAAAACAAACAGTGTTTACGTAAATTTATATTTTATTCAAATGGAATTCTTAAAGGCAATGTTCAAACATATCTGAATGACTTTCCCGAAGCTCTACAACTTTTTCCTAGACGTTTTTTATTTAACACAGCAAACTTCGGTATAACAAATTGCAAGCTGTTTTGAAAAGATATGTCAGTCACAAAGTCATACAACTTAATAAAATAGCACACGCATGAGGTTTTGTACGGTAATGACTTTTTGATTTATTTACAATTCTGTTAATTTATAGTACGTGTCTCGACTCGGCCCACCTTTTCGTAGACTGTTATTGCCTTTCAGTAATGTCAGACTTAAGCGTATACCAACATGTCAATCCTTACGTACGGTCAGCTATACCTGGCCTTATTTTGACCAATCTTTTTGCAATCATTGGTATATTTAGCAATATTAATATTGTTTGGGCTACATGTCGGAAATGGTACTGTAATATCATATTTTATATTATTATACTTACTGTAACATATGCTGCCTATAAGGTTTTTTTTAAATTTTGTGTATGTAAAACGTTATTTTTATAAAATTTAATAAATTTACACTTTCAGTCAATTAAAAGGCGTGTGCCATATTATTATAGCCATCACAGCCTTATCTGACATTCTTCATCAATCTGGCCAGTTTATATATCTATACCTATATATTACTAAACAAGCCTTACAAACAAATCAATTTTGCTTTTGGCTTCAATTAGTACCAGCTTTTAATATTAGTTTTGGTGCTTTTATGGTAATGTCAATTGGAATCGACCGGTTGTTTCGGGTCTTGAGGCCTACAAAGTAAGTATTGTAATAGTAACATGGACAGACAATTCTTTGTTGAAAAAATGTTATTAATTATTGAAAAAATCCGCTACAAAAAAAATTTTTTTGTAGTCTCTCCTAAAACTCATACATATTTCACCTGATGATTACAATTTATTTAAATTTTTGAAATTTTAGATATCTTAACTACGACAAACGTACCTATTATTTACATTGATACCTCCCTTTGTCTACAGTACTTGGATTGCTGTTTTATGTCATCGTACAATGTTGCCAGTAAAAGACAAGTAAGTTTACGACTAGTACCAAGTAGAAATAAAAAGAAGCCATGTTGAGCTTTGGTTCAGGCTTCGGGTTCAATCTAAATCTTTCGTTGAAAGACCTAAGCTAGTAGGAAATGAAAGAATTTTCAAATAGTAAGAGCTCTGGTTTTGGTTTGGCATTTTGGCTTACATGTACTAAACAAATAATAAAAAGTTTTTTTTTGCAATATTAATCCATACCTTTTCAGAAAAAACGTAGCAATCCTAACATCAATGTTCATAGGCAAAAGCTTGTTAATCTGGAATACAGTCCAAGCTTTTCTCCACGTAGCTGCTTTTTTAACCTACTCTTTACTATGGTTTTTAGTACGAAAGAAGAATATGGGATCCTCGTCCAGAAGAATGATAAGATCTTTGAGCTTTATCATGATTACGTTTGTGTCTGGATGGATGTTTGTTGGCATGTTTACTGCGGTTATTGGGTGGCAAAACCCTAAATTAGCACCTGCTGATATCTACTTTATTCATTTCAATGTGGGGTGGCTGATTAATGTCACTTTGGCTGCTAATTATTTTGTTTATTTTTTGTTCAAGTAAGCTTTAAACAATATCTTAAGTTGCCGTGTTAGATGTTACTGTAAAGTTTTCAAAATTATAGTGTAAAATACAGATTGTTATAAGTTTTAATTTTACAGTCATGAGTACCGATACGCGTTCATCGAACAACTGAACATATTGACATGTAATACGATTTCAATGTTGCGCCGGAGAGTTTATCAAACCTACAAAACCAAATGTGTTAACACTTTCCAAATTACCGTCATGCCAAATACTCATGTAAAGTAAAACAATGTCCTTCTTGATTACATGAACCTTGTGATTAACTACCTCAACACATCACTTCATATTCAATTACATAGTAATGTAGCCTTAGCAACAGTATGTAAACCTACAAAACAATAGGTAGCTAAATCACCCTTCATAGTCCCAACAAAATACCACGTATCTTGATGTTACCTATATATTATAAATCTGATTTAACTGTCAATTAAATCTTTAATATTCCCCGTAATACGTTGCCAATATCACTACATAAACTAGCCAAAGCTGATTTTTCGTATTTATTGAATGCCTGAATTGGAACAAAGAACAAGTTGTATTATATACAAAATGATTAGATCATGACTATCGACTAAATATTTTACAACAAACAAACATACTACAATATGTTGACCCGTAGTGTTTAGAATCCAAAAAGAAGAGTGCGTAATTATGCTAGGTATTACAGAGAATGGCAATGTTGTAGTAGTGGTTACAGTGTAAAAAGGTTTTGCAGTTACTGTCAAGACTAGGCTGAAAGAGTAAAGACTACTCTTGAGCCATGCCTTGACCATAGTAATATTAAAAATGTCACAAACTTTCTATCTTTGATATGATAATGTCATAAAAGGTACATAGTACCTTATTGCCACAATTACTACTACTACATAATTCCATTTTTAGAAAAACATATTAAAAAGCAACTTTAGACAGTCTAAAACAATGTAAAATGCAAATTTTGAGCGGTTTCGGAGTAAATCTTCTTTAGACAGTACCAGTTGTAAAACTTTAGGTATCATACAAAATTTAAAAAATTTCTTAAAATTCAATTTTAAACTTCTAAATTTCCAAAATTTTAGGTACTAACAGCTTTCAAACATTGTACAATATCTAAAACAATACGGTACCAAGAGAAAGACAAAAATTACAATAACAAAAGAGTAATAAGTAGTACTACAAGATAGGAAATTGAAGTATATAACTGTCAACTCGAGCCGATTATTAATACCAGTTTTGAAGAAGGCAAGATTACAGTAGTCTTTGTACTTTTGAATCGTACTGACAATAGTACTATTATTAATAATGCTCATAAGTACTAATATTAGAGAAAGTTTAGCGTGCTTAAACTAACAGTAGTACTAGTAGACCAATAGTAGTACTAGTAGATCCACAGTAATACCAGTAGATTCACAGTAGTGCTATTAGATAGAGTAGTACCAGTAAGACAAAGAACAACATAAAAGTACTATTAGGCTTTAATGGTACCAAATTTAAGCCTTGATAGGGCTATCAGTAATGCCCTCGGGTTTTGTTTGGTATCTCACGTCTTGATCCTCAGAGCATCTAAAATATCAAAAAATTAATAAAAACGTCATCGAAAATGACCCAGAACATCAAAACAGCTACTACAATATCGACACAACTAAGATTTTGCAAAAAATACAGTAACCAAAAGCTGTAAAACCTCATATATGCCAAAGCACACACTACAAGCCCTCTCAAACAGCATTACAACACTAAACAAGTATAATACACAAACTACAGTAACCCTAACACAAGCCTACAGTACCATACACACATACAGCTGAACCAAACCACCCAAAACACAAATTATTCAAATTAACTAACCAAAGACCAAAAGTTTAAGCCGAGTTTATTAAGCACCTTAGGCTTACCCGGAGGAGATTGGAGACGGATGTTCTTCTGAAGGACTGGAGCCCATTAAGCGTTGAGCCAACAGAATCACTCCAGAACGTCGTCGCGATTCTGTAGCACTGGAATAATCCGAAGTTTGGTCAGAAGCCGTGGTTCTGATATCAAACTCTTCCTCGAACATCACGGCCGCGTCCAATGTGACACAGAATTCACTGATCTACAACAATATTATATTGTTTTAGGTATGATATGAAAATATATTTCAATATAATGTTAGATAAGGCTATATAACCTTAAGTAAAGTGTATAATCTCAATTATAACACCCTTGTAATATACAAAACACTTATAACTCCCTAAACTCATCAAAATCAAGTATAATATCCAAACTCACCACTGAATCCCGTTGAAATCCCATACTCAATCCGCTGATTGATGACGCTGAAGTCATCGACTGTGAGTCCAAACCAGTAATGCCAGACTCAGTACGTTGATGTCTTCTATGTTTAATATCTTCATCACTCAAAGCCGAATCATTCTCGTCCAATGTCATTTTCGACAATCCAACTGCTGAGACGGACTTCCGAGTAGAATCTGGAGTTCTTGCACTGTGCTTCGCACTTGACAACTGAAAAAAGTCCTTTTTAATTTTTAAGTGATTTTTTATCAATTTTCATAAACTTTTCGAATTCAATTTTCAATATGCATATAAAAACAAAAACTTACACTTCTTTCCTCGTGAATCGAATCAGAAATCTGCTCCAGATTCCTCAAAGAACTGGTGTAATCCCTCTTCTTCTGCTTCACTTCAGCCTCCAAACACGATATCTTCTGTTTCTGTTGATCTAACCTCTTTCTAAAGTCCATATGCAAATCAAAGTAATGCCTGGTCTTCTTAATTGCTCTCGCATTATCTTTGCCCAACTGCTTTACTCTCTGTGTCACCTCAATCAATCTGTGTGACAAACATCTGTGCATCTCTTCGGCTTCTAACCTCTCGGATTCGGCTTCATTCACACGCTGAATGTGATGATTCAGAACCTCCAAACACTCTGGCTCAATAATCTGTTGTCTGGTCAAGCTATCTTGAGTTAGTTTGACCTGTTGTTTAGCCACCTGCAACATTGAGTTAGCTCGTTCGAACTGCATAGCAGCTTGTTGCGCTTGCTCCCTCAACTTCCTTTCCTCTGCTACAGACTCGTAGTAAGGTCGGCTCTTCTTGATCGACGAATCGTACTTCTTCTTAATGTCGGCTGATTCCTTACTCCATTGTGAATGTAATTCTTTGAACTTTTCCCTTTCTCGATCCAACTGCAGCTCTAATTTGTTGATCACGTCTGTTGCAATATTCAGTTTCTCCAACTCTTCGTGCACTCGATTCAAATGTCGTTGATCCAGCTGAAACTCAACACCATCATCATCGTCAACATAATGAATTCCGTCGTCTGAAGAGCATTTGCGTTGTCGACGAGGAACAGACTTTGCACAGTTTGACTGCAAATCTTCATCTAAAACAAGATAGATTAGCTTTAATAATAAGAAAACTTAATTATTTAAATAGTTTAATATAATAATTAATGTTTTCTTTAATTTTGTGTAAAAATCTAACAAAAAAGACATTTTTTATTACCTAAAAAATCGAAAAACATCTGCCAAACGTAAAACATCAAAAAACAACCCAAAGTAAAAAAAAACAACTTTTGTTCCCTCAAATACTCTTTGAATACCTAAAAATAACTCCGCAACAACATCTATTATTCAAAAACAACCTTTGTACATCAAAAATATATAATTTTACGTCAATATTTTATGGTTTTTGATCAAAATTTGATTTGCTGAACTATATTTTCGACCTTTTTATGATCTATGCCACTTTTAAGCCCAATAACTTTTTGTTTGTTACCTAAAAACCAAATCAAAACCCACAAAATCAACAAGAAAACATACCTGTTGTTGTCGAGCACGCGGCGTCCATCTCGGCAGCATCCGACTCGTAGAAGACGGCTGGCTGCGAGCTCAGATGGCCAGCATCTGGCAATTCCTCTGGCCGTTGAGCCACCAAAACTTCGGCGCCCACATTCATTAAGAAATCTACAACAATCACGATAAATAAAATTGTTTTTGGGTCGATTTTTGAGTCATAAATTACTCGAATTCGCGATTTTTGCGGCATTTTTGAAAGAGAACGAAATGCCAAAAAATTATTGGATTTTTGTGGAGGTTTGAAAAACGGTCAAAATGGTAGAAACTAATTGTAAGAAAAATAATGGATTGTTAATGTTAAAAAGAATGTCACAAGACATTAACCCACCAAAACTTGTAAGAAAAACGAAAATTGATAACAGTTTTTATAATTAATTTGACGTAACAAACTTGACTGATCAACAGATATAATCATTGAACAAACCGAACTTTAAACCTTTGGACTGACAAATTACTATAATTATTAGTTTCAAACTTCCCATAATTTCATAAAAACCTAAAAAAATTTTTGAATTTCCGGTAAAATAGAAAAAAAACCTAAAACAAGGTATTAGCCCATTTCATAAACGGTAATCCCCTAAAGCATAACCCAAATTAAAAAGCAATGGATATGCGATGAAATACACGCAAATCAGACCTTTTTCGATTGAAAACAAAAATCTGTTTTTAATTGCTTTGACGCCCCCCCCCCCCCTTAACAGAGGTACCCTTGAGACTTGAGGTAATTTGAGCGTCGCTTTAACTAATTACTAATTAAAATCATTTTTTATTTGGATTGTAAAACCAACTTCTGACTCTCACTTTGTTTTTGAGGGTTTTTGATTAAAATTATTCAAAATTTAAAATTAAAAAAAAATGAAATACAAAGCGAATTCGTATTTTACCTAAACAATGAAAAAAAACATAAATTGTTAATATAAAAAAGCCGTTTTACTCTAAAATTAGGGATTTTAAATGATGCTACAAACAAGAATATCAAAACTGCTATATTTTTTTGCAAAAATAACAATGGTAAATTAAAATTTGTCACCAAAAGCTACAAAAATGTAAATCACATCACGTCGTTCCTCCCAAAATTCGAATCAAATTATGAACAAATTTCACAATTTTGCATCGATTAACTTTCAAAAAAATATTCGAATTTATTAACACTAAAAAAACTTTTTTTTTGATTTGATTGATTTTGAAATTTCGAATGTAAAGCCTCGAGATACGTTACATAAGAGGCTTTGAATAGTTTATATCAGAAAAAGTGCTAAAGTTGAGCTTTTAAGCTCGGTTAAGCACGATTGTCAAGGACGTTGAGCTCGTGACGGAAATGGAGAACAAGAAGCTACTGGCAGATTATGGAAGGATCATAGGGTTAAAAGTGTAGTTTAGGAGAGGTAATAACTGTGGAACTTGCAAAAAGTAAAAATTATTTTAAAATTTCGGAAAGAACCGTAAGGAGGCCAAGTTCAAATTTTTTAAAAAATAAAAAAAAATTTCAGGTTTAAAAATTGTCTCCAAATTGACCTTAAAAACATAAGAAATAAAGTTAATTAAAGTTTGTCAAACTCAGAATGCAGTAATAAAAACAAAAACGACTCGAATGTTTTGTCTGCATTTAGAAAATCTTTGAAAAAACAAAAATGAAAGTTAAAAGTGAAAAATGAAGGCCAAGAAACACCTGTCAGCCTAGAGTTATGTCTTGCTTTTGGAATTAAACCTTAGGCATTTGAAAGTAAAAAAACTTATATTAAATAATTTTGAGCCCCCTTTCAAAGCAATTTTTCTGGGTTGTGAGAAACAGAAGTATTTGAACAACCTAATAGCATCCACAAATGTGATAACTAAAAAAACTTATATTATCCACAAGTTTACTAAAGAAATAAGGCTTATAAACTTAATAAAATCACTTTTCTTAGCTACATCACAGCAAAAGTAATATCACCTTATATCACACACCCTTATCATAAATCTACTGACAATATTATGTCTATTTTCACCGCTGAATCCCGTGAAAACAGAATCTTCCTCGAACTGACGAAATAACAAGATTCAGAACACAATAATTTATGTTTTTGGTTGACGTATGAAGATTCCGGTTTCTCTACATCTTTAAAGGTCGAAAACACACAGTAGCTCTCAAGATGTTGCGAAATGAAGGTCAATCATCGTATGTTCGGGTTCTAACATATTTGGTTGTTCAAATAATTCTGTGCCCTCAACCACGAAACGTTTTTTTAATATAGGGCTCACAATTATTTGAACAACTTCAAGTCAAAAATACGCCATTCTTTTTGCATCAATTATGAAACGCGCCATTCTTTTCGCATCAAAACAAAAATAAGAATTTTCCAAAAACAGATGTTATACTTGCCAAAATTCGTAAATTGTATCATTTTAAGCCGTGTTAGCTCCGTATGCGGTCAGTAATGTCCCCACAGATACGACCGGATATTACCTTGTGCAAAACAAATAACAATATTTTACACAAACAAACTTTAGTCTACTTTACTGCTTACAATGTTCTTATAGTAAAGGTTGTGGGTATGAGAATGACAAGGTTTTTTGTGAATTAGGGTTGGTATTACTAGAAAATAGAGGTGGTGTGATAAATAAGTTGGTTTAGACGGTTGTAATTTGCAAAATCTTATGGTGAAGATTAGGTTTTTGATCAAAAAGTAGGCAGAAAAGTTCAAAAATGCAATTTTTTGGACAAGAAGGTAAAATACGTTCACTTCTCTTCTACTTTTACTATATTACAGCAACATACAACATCTCCTACTTTCACTATAGTACACCGCTTAGCCCCAAAAACCCTTCTAAATCTTAACAATACTATAAGAAACCATTAAAAACGCCCTAATAGTACGACCTCGGAACGTACACACTATATAATTTCGTATGTTCTTTGTGAAAGTTTGGAAACGGAAATGTCTCCAAACTTTTTGTCCCAAAACCACTTATGACAGTTTTTCGAAAAAAACGTCTGCAAAGCGACAAAAATAATAACGTTTTGTGCTTATTAATATCATAATACTGGGAGCACATTATGAGAGTAATTTGATTACATTACTGAAAATGTAAAATACGGAGTAGACAAGTGTAGAAAAGATGAACAGACAATGATAGAAAAGGTCTTGCTTGAATACGTATTTCTATACCTAAACCAACGCAAAAACTGTGATTTTAGCCGAAAATTAAAAAAAAGCCAACACTATAGCAAAATATTAGCTTGTTCAGTAAATTCTCATCACTTTGACAATTTGTTTTGACATCGGGCCCAGAATTACATGAACATCCTAATACAAATATTTACTATAGGAAAATACTAAAAAATACAAAGTAAAAAATAAAAAAATTCAAAAAATAATAAGTATCTAACTCAATATGCAGTACAACATCCTCAAAAAACTGCCAAAACACAATTTACAAGTAAAAGAACATGTGTCTGGGTCGTTACGCAGCTTAAAAGTAATCAAAAAGAGCATTTTACTTGATTTCTCACGTGAAAAAGATGTATAATATTAGTTTTACCTTGTAAATGGTATCTAGAAATAACCACAAAAAACTTAAATTAATAATAACATAATGTAAAAGATCTAATAATATATAAGACATCAATCCAAAGTACACATAAGACAACATATATAAATGCTAAAAATATAAACATACCACCCCTAGTTAACCTTATTGTTAGTGTTTTTAAGTTATTTCATTTCATAAACAACATTAAACTGAAGGTTCCAGTCTATATTGATGTAGCTCTTTTTATAAATTAGGTATTGCAGACGTACTATAAACAACATAATTTATTAATATATATTAGGTTGTTCGAGTCATTCTGAACCCCGCCTCAAAGCAAATTGTCGAGCATAAGAGCACAGAATTATTTAAACAACCTAATAGTACGAGTGTTATACTACCTCAAAACTGAGTAAAGATACTATGTCTACATATACATAAAACATACTACGTAATACATATATATGACAAATTTTATTAAGTTGAGTGCCATTTACTATAAGAAAACATGCTTAAAAACCTAAAAATGTTACTGTTATAGTGTACTACAATACTATAAAGCGCCTTATACTAGCAGTTAAAGACAAAAAAACTCAAATAGTACCTTCCGCGGCTGTTTATGAAAGAACCCCTACATAAAGCAAAGTAGTATACTAATCTGTACATGGAAAGTAAGTAATCGCAGACACGGAAATGTGTAATTACATAACAATTAATTGTGTAGAACGCCATAAAATAGTGTGTTATATTCTATAATAACATGACAACAACATAACACTTTAGAATTTTGACTCTAAATCATACTTAAAATTTGTCATTTGGTTTGTAGTAAACATATAATATACATCATACAGGTGCAGTACATTTACCATACTCAGGTGTGAAACATGTACTATAACATAGTAAAGATACTTCACCTGGTAAGATATTTACATATATAGTATGTTACTACAATATAACTAACTAAACCTTAACACATGTCATATTAAACAAGAACTACCCTAACCTACCCTGCTTCGCCTTTCTTTGCCCTGCCTTATTTTGCCATGCTCTACTCTGCCCTATAATAACATAAAACTGTTGTACTAATTTACATACGTGGCAGTCATCACAATACAAAAAGCAAGTAATGTACCACACTTCACAGTGAAATACCACCTAGTTCCCCACCCCACCTAACCCTATTGTACTTCCCACCTATAACCGTAAAATACAAAACAACCTGAACAAAAGTGGTGTTTGACAAACGACAAACCTTCGAATGCCGTTACCCTTAAGACTTTGGTGAAGTAAAAGAAAAGTTTAACAAGATTGTGCTGTAATAAGTAATGGAAAGATGTTTAAACGTTTGAGAAACACGTACGATAACTTGATTTATAGGTTAAGATAAGTAAGCGTCTGCTGTCATAAGAACTGAAAGGTGGAGAAGTAAAAGTTATAGACAATATTATCAGTGTTTAAGCAACATTGAAGAACTAACCGTATTTTACAAAATTAAAAAAAATTGTGTCCATATTTAAGTAGAAAGCAAACTTTGAAAGAATGACCTAGTAAAAACCAGTTGTACTAGCCAGTACCACATCACTTCTA